TCTACTCTGTATGCTACTGTAATGAGTATTTATTTATTTATTTATATACTTACGTTAATACAATTTTATTATTTATCTAAATATGTTTATGCATTTATGTTAATATTTTATTAATTAAAATATTATTTTATTAATTCATATTAATAAGTCATCAATTATGTACAAAGACCCAGTTTGTTCTAATTTAAATTGGTATACCGTGCCAATTTAAAATATATTATATTTATTTTAAGCTACATTAGGTGTTTGTCTACTCTGTATGCTACTGTAATGAGTATTTATTTATTTATATACTTACGTTAATACAATTTAATTATTTATCTAAATATGTTTATGCATTTATGTTAATATTTTATTAATTAAAATATTATTTTATTAATTATAATATTATATTAATATATTTGTATTTATTCTTTTTGAATCGTTTTTCAGTTTGAAAACCCCTTGTGTGGTTTAGATCACACAATGAATACGTTTATGTAAATGTCTTTTATGGAATATTCTGAGTATTGTTTATGGATATGGAACAATATCGTATAGACCCATTTAGAGTAGACGTCACTTGCAGCTGCGCGCGCACAGTGGTTGCAGAAAAACACTGGGAACAAGTGGAGGTAAATGGGTAAAATCCATGGAATAAAAGAAAAAAATATTTTTGTGCCTTTTGATGTCAAGATCTGAATGCAGATAATTTTTATAGAATACTGTCGTCATTTGAAGCTAAACGCAGACGTTTAAATAGACATACTATGGATGAAAACTGCTATGATTACTCTACTTTTAAAGCATAAATTCGATTTAAACAATAGGTCTACATAATGCTGTTCATAGGGGACGTATTGTATTAGCCCTACAGTTACAGCATGAAATATTATTTAAACCTTACTATTAACATTTTTACATAACATTTATTTACTTTATCTCACAATTCTGACTTTTTTCTCGCAAATGCACGTTTATATCTCCTAATTCGGACTTTATAACTCGACTTAACTAAAAAATAGTGAGTTTGTCAAATCTGAGGGATAAAAGCCAGAAGAGCCGAGGGGAAGATAGAGAATGACCAGTTGTTTTTCCTTATTAGAATTGTGAGATATAATCTCGGAATTGCGAGAATAAAGTCATAATTTTGAAATATAAAATCAAATTGACCTTTTATTCCATGGCTCCATACACTGCGACTTGAAAACCCTAATTTTCTGCCTCCAGATAGGCTCCGCCCACAAAAAACGTCACCCTTGTTTCGGATCTGTAAGACTATCGCACTCTCTAACGCCAATTTCGTTGAATAACAGTGCTTATCGCTGGGTGACAAGCTCTTGTAATATGCGTAGAACATTTTCAAAATGACATCTAATCAATACAATTTATAATCTTTTTAAACCTAACTATTTTGTACCGTATCCGTGAAATTCTCTAGCTGTAAAGGCTATCTCTCCCGGGTTTTCTGCAACCATGATTCGCGCGCATCCTGAATGTTTACAAACCGATAATTGGTCTGTTAGTCATACTACTAAGTGGCAGATGAATTTGAGTTCAGACTTTGACATCAACTGCAAAAAATACAGAAAGCCTTTGTAAAATTTGATATCCATCTTTATTTTGCTTCCAAATTATGCATGATTACATGGTTAATTTGCATAGGTTTTGCTTGCCAGCTGTGACCCGCCAGTTGTGATTTTATCTGGAAGAGCAGATAAATACTGACACGGCTCTGAACGCTTGGGCCGTTTATATCTGTGAATGTCGTTGCTAATCTGTTTTGCTGTGGTTTGTCTTTATCCAGGGACTCATGTGTTTGTCTTGGGTAGCCCTGTATAATCCAGCACCACTCCATGGATTAACCGCGGAGAAAAGCTGAATCCAGTCATTCTGCTCGAAGAGGGTCGCGGCACCGGTGCAACATGCCCCTTCCGTTCGGATTAAAACTCAAGAGAACCAGAAGATACACGGTGTCCAGCAAAAGCTGCCTGGTGACCCGCATACAGCTGCTCAACGGCGAATATGTGGAGTTCACGCTTTCGGTGGAAAGCACGGGACAGGAATGTCTGGAGGCAGTCGCGCAGAGACTCGACCAAACCTCTCACGGCAGCGTCATCAGCTTGAGATCGTTTTTTTGAGATCGGCCTTTAGAGACCGCCGATCAAACATACCAACGTTTCCGATATTTCGATATACATTACCAGTTTTATCACTCTAAAAGCGCCTCCTGCTGGCAGAGAAGCCCCCATAAATGGCGCATCATGCACGTGAGGTTATCTGACGGAGAGACGCAAAGCAGTTTAAAGCAGAGTCCTGCACGGGTCCTGTTAGGTAAACCTGCATCCGCAGTAGCTACACAACAGAACACACGACCCGTTATCCGACAGCAGCCAGCACCAATTTAAT